GGCTGGATGCATTATGCCCTGACCAGGACCGTCCCAAGACTGTGTCTTGTTGGCCTCGGTATATCGGTTTGACTGTCTCTTTTGCCTGTTGCTGTTTGCTTACTGTGTCTGGCTGTGTTGTCGTGTCTGCGCCAGAGGCACGGTGACGACTGTGCTGTGGTCTGCTCTTTCTCGTACGTACAAGTCGGGGAGATTGTGCATACAGGAGGAGGGATCAATCATATGTGTAATGTGCGTGCTGGGTTTGATCTGATGTCTGTGCCATGTGTCTGTTACGTTTCGTTGGGTGTGGGTGGGGGTTGATGCCTGTCTGTTGCCTCTTTGTGTTGGTCGCTTCTTGTCGTATCACCGCATTTCGCGAGACTAATAGCCGCTGCGGGGAGCTGCATGTGTTCCGGCTTAGTGCACCCGTGTACCGCCAGTAGGCGACTTGGCACAGACCCAGACCCATACGTGCAGTTCGATTCGAGTTAATCGACGTGTGACCGGCTGTGAAGCACGTCAAAGCAAGATCTACACACGCAAACTTCCACATCCATCGCAACTCATGTCTCGTAGATCTCGCGCGTGTAACTTGGTCTCCGCTCGAGCTTTAACTCCTTTTCGGAGTGGGGATATGAGGATAGATTACCCAGGCCTCCTGGGTGCTTGCCTCCTGGCCATTTGCTCGGCAGTCCAAGTAGATCTCTCGTCGGCAGCTTTTCTGCAGCGGAGGCTGCCTGGCGCACATGGCCATGAGCGACGCAGGCGCAAACACGCCTGCAACAGGATGGCATCCTCAACCCTCCCTGACTGTAAGCACGACAAGCAGTGGCGTGAACGGGTGGACCCATTGTTTCCGCTTTCTCTTGCTGACAGGTCCTCGTACGCTGTGGAGTGACATTGATGTGGATTATCTGAGATCAGGAACGTCAGCACACCCACCATCGGATGCTTCCCTGTGGGACCGGCTGCTCAGCCCGCTCGCCGCTTACCCCTCATCAGCGCATCTGCGAGATGCGGCTCCCTTCCCTGCCGTCATCGAATCGACAGCCGAGAGGAACACCGAGGGCGCCTCCTTCTTCATGCGCAACCGTGCAGCCATTCTGGAGCAGCTGCGCAAGAGCGGTGCAGTGTGGCTCCGGGGGTTCGATCTCATGGAGACCGAGTGCGGCTTCCAGGCGATGTATGATGCCCTTGGCCTGGTGCCTTGCCTGGACCCCATCCACAGCTCTGGCCTGCGCAAGATGGTTGCGCCCAAGCAGGCCGTGTATGAGACCGTCAACAAGCCCTCGCTGTCCAAGCATTATGTTGGGATGCACAATGAGTCCACCTTCAAGAAGTCCGCCGTGTTTGGGGCCTTCGTCTGCTTCCGGCCTGCGAGGGAGGGAGGAGAGTTCCTAGTGGCTGATGGAGCGGAGATCCTCAGGCGACTTGACCCTGATGTGGTGGCATCTCTGTGCAACAAGAAGATACGCATATCGGTCAGACAGATCTGTCCACAGAGAGAGAGAGAGAGAGAGAGGGGGAGGGAGGGGTGTCATGCGGTCCGTTTTGTGTGTGTCTGCAACAGGTTACAAATCTGGACTTCCCCTTCCTCTCCAGGCTACCAGCGCCGCTGCGGACGAGTGTCAAGGGCCTTCTGCAGGACCTCATCTCAAGGCTGGTGGCCCCGAAATTCGACATGGAACTTGAAATGGTACGGCCGCCACACGTGTGGCGTTGGTTTGGCGGCCTCAGGTCACTGCGTTTCTGCATGCGTGTGTGAAGTACAGGTGTGGGGTGCTGACGGTGTGCCGCATCGATTGCAGGCCATCGAGCCGATGCAGTCGCCTGTCAACCTGCACCCCATCACCAAGAGGCCCCTCTGGTTCTGCAACATCCACAACCACTCACGCTGGCTCAGGTCAGCACAGCACAGCCCCCGCACGACAGACAGGCACACAAAGCAAATGACGGCAAAATGCACTGAGATATTTCCCTCTTATCCTCTTTCCCGCTTCCCTTCTGTCAGGGATCGGCGGCCGTGCACAGTGCCTGAGGTCGGCATGACCGAAGTCTACCACGGCGACCTCTCACCCATCCCTTCCGAGCACGTCGAGCACATCGATAAGGTCACCAGGGAGTGCATCGTCGAGATACCCATGCAAAAGGGCGACGTCGTGCTGGTCGACAACTACCGGACGCTCCACGGCCGCAACATCTTCGACGGCGAGCGGATGCATGCCGTCACGTGGTTCAAGGGCGTCACACCGGGCGAGGGGGCCTACTTCTCGGTGGATACAAAGCGTGATACAGCAAGTGGCGAGGGCGTGCGGGGAAGCGGCGAGTATGACTTCACGGCTGGCGATCTGCTGAACGAGGCGATCAACAAGTTTTTGGTCAAGTGACTGGTCTATGAAGAACGCCGTGCTGTGCTGCCGTTTGCGGCTGTGTTTGTGTGTGGTCTGAGGTGTGTGGTCTGAGAATGAAGTCAAGTCTTTTACGCTGACTCTCTTCTTACACTCTGTATGACTGCGTGTGCTTCGGCGGGGCCTTAGTGCCATCCATATATGGACGACGCCCAAGCACTCGTCATTTTTCACTTTGTGTGGAGATAGATGCATACGTGAGATGCGACATTATATCGTGGGGCTCTCCAGTTGACCCCCCCGACCAGCCATTCCCAGGGAAGGACCGCAGCTAAACATACAGAGGAAAAATGTGGAGGATCATCATTCTGCCTTGACAAACCAGGGAATGCAGCAACACAGCATGCGGGATGGATGAAATCCTCTGAGAGGGTCGCTGCGAGTTGGCTGCGAGCTGAAAAGAAAAAGAACCGACGCTGAAGTAGCGGTCATGGCGTCAGACGGCGACTGGTTGGAGGCCATGGTGGCTCAGATGAAGGCGATGGAGCGGCGAATCGATTTGGCCATGCAGAAGAACACCACTGTCGCCGAGGAGCCGCAGCCTCAGGACCATCGCACTGGCGGGCCGACGACTGCCACTGCTGCGGCCGCTGAGCTCCCGTCGGCATCAGCCACATCGGCACCCGACAGAACTCACAGGAGCGGACGGCAGGAAGGCGCTGCTTCTGCACACTGTGGACCCATTGGGGGTCCGTCTGACGAGTCAGCCCCGCTGCCCAAGCGCCAGCAGTCCACTGGGCCGCCCCGCACCCCAAAAGATCCATCGCCATCAACCGAGAAGGCCCCTGCACCTGACGGCGGCGATGGGCGCGGGAAGGAGCGGCCGCATCGTCAGCGGCACGGACACATCAGACGACCAGCTGCGCCGCCCAAGCGCATGCAGTCTGTTGAGCTGACTAACAGAGAGCAGCCAGTCGCCCCTTTCGAAGCAGCTGATACCTTCGATGAGACGGCCGCTGCCATCAGCCGGCTGCAGCGTGATATCGCCGCCATGGCCCACGAGCACCAGGCGGCTATCGGGATCGACGACACTGGGGCTGGTAGGGGGGAGGACAGTCATGTGGGCGCCTCTGATGTGCGGGTCGTCGAAAGCCCCAGACCGCCCGTTGCCCGAGCTCCAAACCCACCAAGGTGGAGACGATAGAAGAAAGAGCCGGCACACGAAGTGTTCACATGTCTGGATGTGAGTGTGTTTGCTTGCCTCAGGGAAAGTCAGTCTGCTGTGGAGCGCTCATTGCCGTCGACCACTCAGCTGCTTTACCAGGTGCCGGACGGCCATTGGGTCTCGCGGGCTCAGTACGAGTGGTCGGGGGCCGCCGCCGACGCCGTCCTCAGACCCGCCCAAGACACGCAAGACAAGAAGCAGCACCCCCACCCCCACCAGCCCCACCGCACAGCCACTAGCAATCGCACGGCGGCCTACGACCAGGAGCCGATCTGCGAGAGGGCCCCGCCGTCCTTTGTGCCGCCGGTCGATCCGCACCACGCCCGGCATGAGAGGGGCCGGCAGCTGGCCGGCAGTCAGATGAAGGCACTCATGCGCGACAATGATGCGGCTCGTGGTGGCGGCTCGTCGGGCCAGCAGAGGGGCGCCGGCAGCAAACTCGTGTCGTCCACGGCGGCGAGTGCTCGTGGAGGGGCGGCTGGACTGGTAACTGACCAGCAGGCCGGGTGCGTTGTCAATCTGGCGCAGACTCACCTCTTTACCACTATGGAGGGTGAGGCCTCATAGCGGCATTTCTACAACAGGGGATCAAATCACGAGGCTTCTACGTACGTATGGTATGTGTGTATCGTTCAGATGTGTCTCGCAGGCTGGTGGATGTGTCCCGTACGTTGAGGGATGGCCGCTGGCACCATGACGGACGCCAGGAACACCAGCCAGGCTTCCACCGGTGGGTGGGCAAGGGACGGACACCTTGGGCACACATGGACTGACTGCAGGACTGCCTGCCTGCCTGCCCTCATGTCCATTCATCTCAGGACGTCTATCCATCGTATCTTCGAGCAGGAGAATCGACCCCTCGCCGCCCGCCCCAGCTCACACCCAGGCCCTCTCAGCGCCGACCACCGGCAGAGCAGCCCCGAGCCGTCCGACTACCCCAACTCACACGCCGAGACAACCAACCCGGCCGTCCCCCCGCTACTGCCCCTCTCGCCGCCGAATGCTGGGCAGGAAGATGCAGGCGAGATCCAGCATAAGGCGGCCCATCAGACGAGCGAGAGCGGCGTCGGTCGTCAACCGGCAAGGAGGGGCGACGGGCTGCGGGAGAAGCGCAACTTCATCCGCGAGAATGCGCTAGCGGTCATTGGCACACGGAGGGCGCCTAAGGGCGGTCGGGGCAGCAGGAGGGTGGTCCCCGGAGTGCCGAATGGGAGGACGCAGGCGCAACATGCACAGCGAGGTGCCGACAGAGAGGGAGGGAAGGGACCTGCGCGTTGTCTACTGATCTCTTTGTCTCCTTTGTGTGTGTGTTCAGGGGTTTCATCTGTCCAGCGGCAATCAGCAGGCCAGGCCGATCGGACGACAGTGTAGATACAACTTCCAGGCGGTGCCTGGCTGTGCCTGGATGCAGAGGAATGTGACAAGGAGGAGCAGAGGCGGGACCGCCTTCGCTCCTTTCTCTCGCCATCTGGATCGATGTCAGCTGCGCCACCATGTTCCAGCAGTGGAGGGGGTGGGGGTGGGGGTGGATGTTGTATCTATAGGAGAATGGACACGTCTAGCATGTGTAGCGGGCATAGACTTGACCCGGAACGGATCAATCAATCATGAATGCCTATGTATGTGTCCATCCTATCTATCTCACTCGACAGACACCGTCAGTCAGTCAATCGAACGTCACGTCAGCCACGAACGGGTCCAGGAGGCGGCATAGGTCCGCCACCGACAGCAACAGCTTCAGATCGACCTCACCACCCCCCAGCCACAGAACAGGCGGCCTCAGCTGCATGATGCGACGCGACACGATCACAGGGATGCTGCACACACACATGCACACAGAGACACAACCAGGCAGGGAGAGAAGCCTCAGTGCAATGCAGTTTGTGTGTGTGGTGATGTCGGCCATGCTTACGGGTGCTGCATGACGAATGGTGTGGTTGCGTTGCGCACATAGCCCGTTAGCTTGGCCGCCACCTAAGTCACAGCCGGCCAGGCCACATCAGACTGACGTGTAGTATTAATCGGCTAGTGCAGTGCATGGAGCGAATGTTGTTTGTCCCACCTCTTCGTCGGCAAAGACAAAGTTGAGCCGCTTGTTGCCCATCTCGCCTGCAGGCAGGCAGGCAGGCAGGCAGGCAATGACGTGCAAGGATGACAAGACAAACAAGGGTCACAAGTCGCATCATCACTGTGTGGCACCTAGCGACCCTAGCCTACCTGGCGGGTGCATCGATTTGACGAAGTCCTTGACCCTACCCTTGTTCAGCTTGGCCGTGTACTGGATGACCACGGCATAGAATCGACTGTTCTTCGCGTCATCCACACCTGCACAAAAGCCGGAAACGAACACACAAATGCCATCATTCCGTCCGTCAGTCAGGACAAGTCTTACCGGCATGGTGTGAGTTCTCGATTATGACGGTCTTGCAGAGGTGGTCGACGGACGGTGCGCTCAGGCAGTCTGCCCGCCACTGCAAAGGTTGGTCGTAGTAGAAAGGCGGCACACGGCGCAGCTCACATGATACCCCCTCAGCAGCGAAGTATCCCTCCAGCCTCTCTTGGACGGCACTCTTCGCCACACTAACAGAAGGCACGTTTGCCGTCGTCCCGCCCTCCTCTGTCGTCCCACAGACGGCAGACGACCAGCTCTCGATGGCCCTCTTGACCGTCGGATGCTCGTGAATGGCCTCCAGCCACTGACCCAGCCCGTCGACCGATGACGACTCAAAAACGCCGTCATCGTCCAGCGCAGAGGGCCAGCTGCGGAGCACGACGAAGAAGGGCGCAAACACGAACAGGTCCGAGAGGTTGAGGGATGGTGATGACGCAAGGGGGGCGGCCGTGGGGGGATGCATGTCGGCCAGACGCGCCAGGTGTTGGTCGAGCAGCCGCTGTCCCAAATACGTGCTCTCAGCTGCCTCGAGGGCGCGAAGCAGGGCACGGAAGCGGCCCCGGTTGTCTGGCCGACTCTGCATGGACTTGCCGCTTGCGATCTCCCGGGCCGCCCTTAGAATCTTCATCAGATAAGGCTGCAGCACGCCGACTGACCACTCCATGACCTCCATCTCTCTCGCAGCATCATCCGCGGGTGGAATGCGGCCGCCGTCGAGGCCATTGAGCCTCTGACACACCAGCGCCAGGCTTACATCGTCCCAGATCTGGATGACCGGGTGCCGCATCTCATAGCGCGATGCTGGAGGGCTCTTCTTGTGGGCGAGGGAGCAGATGTGAGCACTGAGGGCGGTGAATGCATCAAAGACAGTAGTAACGAAGCTGGTGGCGGGAATGTGGATGCCGTAGAGATGCGCCGCAGCAAGGCCCCGAAATAGCTTCAGCAGGGCTGTTGACTGCTCCAGGGCGCCTGCTGGCATCGCCTCATCCATCCCGAGATTTGCAAGCTCATTTGCGAGCTGAGATTGCGGACTTTCCGACGACAAAAGGAACGAAGGAGTCGTTGAGAAAACCGCATAGTACAGGTTGGCGAGCGCAGAACACGAAGAGATCCAGTGCATCGATGTTCGCTGTGCCTGTTTCGTTGTGCCTTTCAGCGTCTTGGCATTTCATTGATTCGGCGTTGCTTCACATGGTTGGATGTCCCGCTGGCGTATAGTCGCCCGCCTGCTGGTGCCCTGGTGGGAAAATCATGGCGACCAGAGCCCTTCGCAAGACGGCGGCTCAACCGCACAAATCGCCATATCAGACCCCATCTCGCTCGAGGAATACAGAAGCAGAAACATCATACAGGCGAGAAGAAAGACTGCAATGACAGGCGGAAAGGAATGACGGCACTCATTGCTTGCTTGTGATTGTCGGAATCCATCTCCGTCTGTGTGGTGTTTGATTGCGTGTGTGGGGGTCAGGCTGATGCGGGTCTACTGGATTTCTTCCGCACGCTGACCAAGGGCAAGGACAGGCTAGACCAGGACTCTATCAGGGACGCAATCGCTGAGGTCAGCCAACCAACCACTGATGAAACAGCCATCCTGGAGGTCTTGTGGCCATGAGTGATGCTTGTCTTCCTTTCGTTGGATTGTCATCAGAGGGGCATCAGCGGCCCGCGAGCGACGCAGTGTGCCGCTGAGATCCTGCGGAAAAGCGACCGTGACAGTAAGAAGGAAGCGCACACACCAGCACAGCACGGCAGCAGTGCATTGCATTGGATTGGTCTGTGCTTCATTCAGGTGACGGTGCGCTCAACTTCAATGAGTTCACTGACTTTGTGTTCCGTCGGCGGCGGGCACTGCTGGAGCTCTTCGAGCAGGTCGACCGCGACAAAAACAACAGGTCAGTCAGTGTGTATGAGTAGACAGACACAATGAACGAACGGTCAGCATGACATCGATTTGATGGATGGTATGTGGTGTGTTGCACTGCAGGATCGACTTGCACGAGGCTCGGATCGGTCTCAGGAAGGCGGGGCTGTCGGAGCTCGACGCATCGGACCTCTTCTCATTCGGGCTGTACAGAGATGAAAAGGAATACGTACGTGAGCAAACGGAACAGATCCATGCGATTCCGTGCCTTGCTGATGTGTCGCTGCCGTGTGTCTGTGTGTCTGTGTGTCTGTCAGTCGATTGCGTATGCCGAGTGGGAGAGATCGCTGCTGTTCCTGCCCATCTCGAGAAGGTCAGTCAGCAAGGCTGGCTGACGCATCGCATCGATGCGTCGATGGGATGGACATGGCTCACGCAATGCAATCGTGCGTACTCTGGCTTTGCTCTGCTCTGCTCAGTCACACGCTTTTCGAGTCATGGGAGCGGACAACATTCAACATCTTCGAGGAAGAAAAGGTAAGAATACAACACACAAAACACAACACACTGACCCAACATCCCTCTCCCTCTTAACACATACCATACCGCCCTCCCTGCGCGACTGTGTATCTGTCTATCTGTCTGTCTGTCTGTCCATCTGTTTGTCTGTAGGAGGGTGTCCCTCCCTCTGTATGCCCCCCTCCCACCCGGAGACCCCCTCGCTTGCTTGAGGCACCACCAGCAGCACCAACACCACCCACAGCCATCCCCGGACCAGCACCATCACCAGCACCCGCGTTGCGAGTGCCCCCTCCAGTGGCTCGTCCCCCTCCCTCTCCCCCTCCCCCAGTGCCCCCAGTGCCGCGTCCACCTCTCGTGTCGCCCCCCGTGTCGCCCCCCGTCCCGCCCCCAATTGTCAGGGAAGAGTGGCGGCCGCCACCTCCACCACCATGGATGCGCTGGCAGGCGTGGGAAACCGGGCTGAGGGGGGCGCTGGCCATACCTGGCTTCCTGCATTTCGTTTCGGGGGGGGTCGCTGGTGAGCTGCCCGAAGACGGCAAGGCGTCAGAGTTCTCGATCTGTTGGGCTTGTGGGTTTGTGTGTGTGCAGGGATATGTTCGCGGACAGCGACTGCGCCGCTGGATCGCGTCAAGGTGCTGATGCAGATCACCCGGTCGCAGGGGCGTGTGGGCATCGGTCCCACCTTCGTGAGGATCTATCGGGACGGCGGGCTCCTGGGCTTCTTCAGGGGCAACGGCACCAACTGCATCAAAATCGCACCCGAATCAGCCGTCAAGTTCTTCGCGTAAGAAGCCTTAGCGACAGACAGACCGGGCACCCACAGCCACACGAGTGCCTCTGTATGTCTGTTTGTTTCTTTAAATGTCTCCTGTGCTGCTGCAGGTACGATTTCTTCAAGCGGCAGATTGTGAAGCTGCACCCAAGGAATGCCCACGTAGCCAGTGAGAACAACGAGGTGCACATGGACGACGCGTCCGACGAGGCGTCAGCCCTCGGCCTGGCGCACCAGAAGGCTGCGGCGCGCGAGAGCCTACAGGACGTCAAGAACCTCAGCATGGTGGAGAAGTTCGTGGCGGGGGGCTCAGCCGGGTGAGTTTGACCCACACACACCACACATCACACTTACAGGCAGACGGTTTTGCCTTCCTGCAATGCATGTGTCGTCCGTTCCTCGCTGCGTGTGTGACCCCCAGGGCTGTGGCTCAGTTTGCGATATACCCGATGGAGGTGGTCAAGACGCGGCTGGCGGCGGCCGCTGCAGGTACCTACAAAGGCATCGCCGACTGCCTGGCAGAGACGTACAGAATCGAAGGTACGTTAGCTTTCCTTCTGTTAGTTGTGTCTGCTGAAGCATCGGATCCACTCATCGATGTGTCGTGCAGGCTACCGTGGGTTGTATCGCGGGCTGACCCCCTCGCTCCTGGGCATCGTGCCCTACGCCGGCATCGACCTGGCCTGCTTCGAGACCCTCAAGAACCTCTGGTCCAGAATGCACGGTAGGTCTGGTTAAACCAGACACCAAAGTCAGCGCACTGCACTTGTGCGGTGCGGGCGATCGGTGTATGGGTGTGTGTTCAATGATGCCATGCAGCGTATGATTCCGATGTCGAGCCTGGCGTGGAGGTGCTGCTGGCCTGCGGGGCGCTCTCCAGCATGTTCGGGCAGCTTGTCTCATACCCTATCGGTATGTCGTAAACGATCCAATCCACACACACCACCAGCAGCACGTCCGTCACACAACAACCTGCTGGTTTTGTTGTGTGTATGTGGGGCGGGTGTGTGTCAGCATTGACACGGACCCGTCTGCAGGCGGACGGAATGCGGGGCACACAGCCGCGATACACATGTAAGAACCACTCGATTGCAGCATGCAAAGCGTGTTCATATCATTGATTAGCTGAGTGGCTACATACGTGTGCATGTCATGTGTGTCACACAGCGATGGTTGATGTGATCCAGAAGGTGGTGAGTGAGGAGGGCGTGTTGGCTTTGTGGCGCGGTATCGGGCCAAACATGATGAAGGCCGTCCCTGCCGTCTCCATCAGCTGGGCCGTCTATGAACTCACCAAAAACAAACTCAGGTGCGGTGCCTACAAGCTGTTCGCGCATCATGAGATCCGGTCATATGGCGGACGGGACGGCTGGTGTTGTGTTGTTGGTTTGCAGGCGGTATGCCCTGGACGAGAGCTGACACGTGCGTGGCGGGATGGATGGATGGGCGGCGATTGTGGTCGTGTGTGGAGTTGTCGAGTGAGTGCGTCCACGAGTGTTTTTGAGTTGGGATGGGCCGTGTGTGAGTTGTGTAGCTACCGTACGTGCGAAAGTGTCTGTGAGTAAGTGCGGTGCGCAGCGATGTCTGTGAGCGTCTGTCTATTTGTGTGTATGTGAGAGCGGCTCCGTGCGTCATCCATCGTATCCTGGACGTTTTGAGCCTTGATTAAGTCATCATATCATGCGCTGCCTCCCCCCCTGTGGGTTCTAGCTATCACGTCACCGCACCCGCAGTCGTCCGTCAGGATGAGTCCCCTCAATCTATCATGTCTGTCTGGTGGTGATGCACCCCGCCGCTATCATCTTGCATCGCATCGCATCGCAACACCCCTCCCCTACACCGAACACAAGCCACGCGAAAAGAAACCCTCTTGGACCCTTCCTATCGGCAGCCAGACAGACAGATAGATGTTCGATCGCGACTAGCTAGTGTACAGGCAGGCAGGCAGCTAGGCAGTCAGAGAAAGCAAGAGGCAAACCAGGCTCTTGCTTTGTATCAATTAGGGATGCAGGTGCGTCTTTGAGGGGGGGGG